ACCGAGGTGGGGTGTGAACTGGCAGAGGAGAGGGTAGGGAAGTTGTCGACTTTTCTTTGAAGATAGCTAATCGGGTTAGTTCCAACTTAGCTTAAAACCAAAATCCACTCTTTAGAGTGGTTTTATTAACTGGTCTGCAGAAGAATACCAGAAAAGTATCCAAATGCCTAAAATAACTTAAATGTACCAAATTGTCAACATACAACCCCAGTAGAAGCTCCCCGAAGGCCGGCAAAGCATTGTTCATTTTGCATCTTTCCCTGGTTCCCTCGACATGCGAGACCTTAGTTCCCTGACCAGGGATCGAACCCGTGCCCCCTGCAGTGGAAACACAGAGTCCTAACAATTGGACCACCAGGGAAGTCCCTCTGTCATCTTACATAGGTACAATAAAAAGAAAAAAAAAACAATGTTTTTCTTCCTTGTGACTCTTAGGATGTAATCTTTTATTATTTTTAAAGTTGAAGTACCGTTGATTTACAATATTGTGTTAAGGATCTGCTCTCTTAACAACTTTCAAATATACCATACAGCAGTGTTAGCTATAGCCATCATGTTGTATATTACATCCCTAGTTCTTATTTGTCTTATAATTGGAAGTTTGTACTTTGGACTGGCTTCATCCAGTTCCTCCTCCCCTCAGCTCCCACCCACCCCCTACCCCCACCTCTGGTAACAAATCTCATCTTTTTTTTCTCTGAGTTTGGCTTTTTGTTTATTTTTATTTTGTTTTAGATTACACATATAAGTGATATCATATAGTATTTGTCTTTCTGCCTGACCTATTTCACCTAGCATATTGCCCTCAAGGTCTACTCATGTTGTCAAAATGGCAGGATTTCCCTCTTTATGGCTGAATACTATTCCATTGCATGCATGTATGTTTGTGTGTGTGTGTGTGTACCACAACATCTTTATTCATTCATCTGTCAATGGACGCTTAGGTTGTTTGCATGTCTTGGCTGTTGTAAATAATGCTGCTCTGAACATGGGTATAAAGGTAGTTTTCATTTCCTTCAGATATATTCCCAGAAGTGGAATTGCTGGATCATATGGTAGTTCTGTCTTTAATTTTTCTGAGGAATCTCCACAGTTTTCCATAATAGCTGCACCAATTTACATTCTCACCAACAGTGCACAGGGGTTCCCTTTCTCCACATCCTTGCCAGCATTTGTTCTCTCTTGTCTTTGGATGATAGTCATTCTAACAGGTGTGAGGTGACATTGTGGTTTTGATTTTCATTTCCCTAATGATTAGTGATTTTGAACATCGTTTCATGTACCTGTTGGCCACTCATCTATCTTCTTTGAAAAATGTTTATTCAGGTCCTTTGCCTGTTTTTGAATTGTATTATCATCATCACCATCATCATTATTACTATTTTGCTATTGAGTTGTAGGAGCTCTTTATATATTTTGGATATTAAACCCTTATCAGATATATGGTTTGCATATATTTTTCTCATTTCATAGGTTTCACTTTATTGATCTTTTGCTGTGAGAAGCTTTTTAGTTAGATGTAGTCCCAGCTGTTTATTTTGTTGCTTGTGCTTTAGGTGTCATATCCAAAAACATAACTGCCGAGACCCACGTCAAGGAGCTTTTTTCCTATGTTTTCTTCTAAGAGTTTTATGGTTTCCAGTCTTACATTTAAGTGTTCAATTCACTTTGAGTTAATTTTTGTGACTGGTTTAAGACAGTGGTCCATAATGTACACTTCGAATAAAGATATTTTAAACTGTATATATGAATGAAGAAAGGGATGAATGAGGCCCTAGAAAGGACACTGTGAAAACAAGAGATCAGTTTGCAAGACAGACTCCTGGCAGACACCCCAGTGGGTTCAGATGTCAGCCAAGGACAAGTAGAGAGGGCAAAACGTGAACCTGGGCCTGGGAGCCAGGTGGCAATGGACCAACTTCATTTTTTCACTTAGTGGATGTCTATTAATCACCTACCCTGTGCAGACACCAGGCACCTGGGGTATATCAGCAGCGAACATGAATCCCCCGCCCTGGGGAGCTGATATCTAGGGTAGTATAACGTATGGAGAGCAGCAGTGGCCCCTGGGGGAACGTGGCCTATGCATCCCCAAGACTGCTTCCTCCTGGGAGTGTGTTTGTAATAATATTAGTTGCAATAACTGCAGCGATCGTTTATAAAGAACCTATGGTTATCAGTCAAGACCATTTCAGTTTTCACAACTTGAACTGGCTTACGCAACCAAGAAGGAAACTTTTTGTGTATGTATTAATTTCTAAAAATACCAGGGGTTACCTAGCTGCTGGCACGGTGGATCCCAGAACTCCAAGGGCGACACCAGGTGTCTGTGTCCTGCTCCACCTCTCGGATTTGCTTTCTTCCGCCGTCACTGCACTAACTTCCTTCTCAAATGTCCAAATAGTAAAAATAGCCTCAATAGTAAAAATAGCTCCAGGCTAAGGATCTCAGCAAACAGCAAGCATCTCTTTCCTTATTCCAGACATTTCAGGGCACTGTTGCAGGGACCGGTTTGACTTAGGTGTTATGCCCAGGTCTGAGCCAATATTTGTGGTCAATACTGAGATGTGCTGGTTGGCCTGGGTCTGGTGGCAGGTGTGGGAATGGGGTGGGATGGGGGACAGCCTCAATTTGCCCCGTAGGGACTGAGAATGGAGGACGGGTGCTTCCCGAAAGAGAGCAGGACAGGCAGCCTCAATGATGCCCTTCCCTGACTTTGCAGCAGGCACAAAGCAAGGGTCGGTTAGGCATCCCAACAGTCCCAGGTAGTTAGACCATTCTTATCCCCATTGTACAGATGGGGAAGCTAGCTCAGACAGGCTGAGGACCTTGCCAGCCTCACACACCTAGCACGTGGAGGGCAAGGAGTGTGGATTCTTTTGTACCAGACAGAGGTTACCGGGGGAGGCCACAGCCTCTGACATAACAGCATGGCTGTTTACACCTAGTGAATGGAGGGGGAGAGAGAAAGGAGAATTATCTGTGATGAATCTGGCACCATGCTTGCCCCCCATCCAGTCCCCAACCCCATGGCCATGACATATCGTGCATCTATTCTCTTGTTCAACATTCACTGAGGCCGTGTAGTGCAGTCCCAGGAGCCAGGCTACAGAGTTCCCTAGAAAGCGCGGCCCTCGCCGAGGGATTAAGTGCTGATACTTGAACTCGGAAGTGGAATTCCAGTGGCAAAAGTGAGGGAAAAGAGAAAAGGAGGTCGGGAAGAATGGGAAGCAATGCAAGGGGATGTATAACCACACTGCTGTACAACAAACCACAGGTGGGAAATGTGCCTCAGGTGGTCCAAGGGACAGAGGATGAAGGAATTTATCCTCATCTCATCTCCTACTGTTACCGAACTCAGGTCTGGCTGCTTGCTGCTGAGAAATCAACACCCGAGAAGCAGTTGTTGGTAGAAAGGAAAGTTGCTTTTAATCAGAATGCCGGCAATCTGGGGAGATGGGGGACCAGTGTCCCCCCAAAGACTCTGCTCGGCCATAAAAGTTTTTAAGGGGAAACAGGGAAGTAATCTCAGTTCATCATTGAGATGGGGGTCAGAGTCGTCACCATCCCGCACGGTGTGCAGGCTTGTCGACTTCTCGTGATTTTTCTTTAGACGCTATCTTGTTCACACAGTTTGCTCGTGGGATTACTGCAGGGGAAGCTGGGAAAGAGATCTGGTCATCTATTAATTACTTATCCTTCATTTCTACTTCTTTGATCTACAGGAAGAACCAGAAAGTTAGGCAAGGTTTTGTGTGATCAAAGCCTAGAGTCTGTCATACAGAGTGAAGTAAGTCAGAAAGAGAAAAACAAATACCGTATGCTAACACATATATATGGAATCTAAGAAAAAAAAAGTCATGAAGAACCTAGGGGTAAGACGGGAATAAAGACACAGACCTACTAGAGCATGGACTTAAGGATACGGGGAGGGGGAAGGGTAAGCTGGGACAAAGTGAGAGAGTGGCATGGACATATATACACTACCAAACGTAAAATAGATAGGGAGATCAGCTCGGTGCTTTGTGACCACCTAGCGGGGTGGGTGGGATAGGGAGGGTGGGAGACATAAGAGGAAAGAGATATGGGAACATATGTATATATGTGTAACTGATTCACTTTGTTATAAAGCAGAAACTAACACACCATTATAAAGCAATTATACTCCAATAAAGATGTTAAAAAAAAAAGATCTGAAAGGTGTGCTAGGTTACTGGCAAGACAAAAGGGCCTCCTGCAGAGAGCTGTTTCCTGCCCAAAGCTGCTTACACTACCTCTCCAAGTTCATCCCTCCCTCCCAGTGTATGGCTCGCATCCTCCAGCCCCCTTACCCTGGGATGTGGTCTGGGAGGGGTCAGTTTCACTTGTGAGACAGCCATAGCTGAGGCAGAGCAAGCAGCCAGGAGTCTGGTGGACAGAGGAGCTGTAGAGGCACACGAGCCCCACATCCCAGTAAAATGGGGATAACAGTACCTCCCCTAGGGTAATGCATGTAAAGCACTTACTAGTGTCTGGCCCCCAGGAGGTGAGCTGGACCGATGGTTGAATTTGCCTGGGGGGGGGCGGTCCTTGAGGGGAGCTTCACCGAAGGGTGCGGTCCTGGCTGAGTTGTATTAGCCGGGACTCCTTCTGCGGCAAGCTGGCTCAAATGAAGCAAAGGATGTACTGGACCGCAGAACTGTGGGACCCAGAGGTGCCTCTGGCTTCAGCGCATTTGGACCCAGGGGTGACTCTGAGTCCCAAGGGAAATGACCCACACTGACCCACAACATGAGCATCTGACCTCCAGGGACCTGACCAGAGAGGAGACTGAACAAAGCTCTAGGACAAAGGCAGGTCAGTGGTTGCCTGGGGTCAGGAGAACTGACCCTAAGGGGGAATGAGGGAACTTGAAGTGTTCCACAGCTCGACTGTGGTGGTAGTTACAAGGCCGTACACGTTTGAAAAAACTTATGAATTAGACACTTAAAGTGGGTGGATACCTCAAAGTTGATTTCTTCAGTGAGACCAAAGAAAAACATAGCTTTATTAGGACCCTTTCTATGACAGAAATCCAACTCAGGATAGTTTTAGAAAAAAAGAAATGCATTCGTTGGCTCATATAATCAGGTTAGTCCAGAGGTGTGTTAGCTTCAGGCATGGCTGGATCCAGGGGCTTACTGAGGTCTGGGGACAGCATACTTTCTCTACCACTTGGCTCCGTCCTCAAGTGGAAAGCAGGAGTTCCATCAATGTGGCAACTCCCATGAAAAGTGAATGCCTCTTTTCCCATAGTTGCTGCAAACGTCCCAAGAGGGAGTCTCAGTGTCCAGCTTGGGACACACGCCTGCCTCTAAAGCCAGTGGATGGGGAGTGGCCCCACGTGAATCCCAGGAGGTGGGGAGAAGTCATCCCCTGAAGGAAACAAAGAAGAAAGGGCTGTGGACCTTGGGTCGGGAAAGCGGACAGGCAGTTATCACATCTCTCCGTACCCAGGGGGAGGTGTTATCACCCATTCCTACCTCCAGACATCTCTGCAGAGGCCAGGCCATCAGGGACAGGCCCCAAACTCATTCAAGACCCAAGGCTGCTTTTCTGAGATGTCACAGGCTCTGTGTTGGTTAGATACAACAGTCAAAACAGAAAGCGAGCAGCTAATCTCTTCCCCACCAGCCAAGGCAAACAGAAAGCCCTTCCGGCCTGTGCTGGGCTGTCTGTCTGCACCCCAAGGAGGCTGGCGGAGGAGGGAGGAGCTCTGGCCCAGAGGGAACTCCTTGGAGCTGATGGCATCCGGACTTGTAAGATGGACCCCAAGGAGGGGAAGGATGGCTCCCTGGGCCTCGGCGGGGCTAGACCAGAGAGGCACACAGGGCAAAGGGGCAAGGAGGACAGCTTCTCAGTCCAGAACCACCATCCTAACAGGGCAGGAGGGCCGGAGAGAGGACTGAAGAAAAGGTCATCTTTGTAGAGATCACGGACAGAAGACACTGTCCAACGCCTGGAGACCTACACTCACTTCCTGAGCAATGCACTGCAACCAGCATGGAATGAGCATGTTCTCCAGGTCAGACACCTCCCCGGGTTCTCTGATGAAGTGGCCTCCTGGAAGAGGAGGGACAGGGAGCCACAACATCCTACCTGTTCAGAATATGCCTAGAAAGTGGACATACGCCTACAGGGCACTATTATGTCCATTAAACAAACAAGGTAACAGGCTTGGAGGGGAGGGGGCTTTACCCAAGGCCCCGGCTAAGTGGCTGCCCCTGACCTGGCTCCTGGCAAACGCCCACCAACTCCAGGAGCTCAAAGCTCTGCCCTCATCCTGATTGCTCTAGGCTTTCAGTTGAGCTGAGGTTATTTCTGACCCAGGTAAGCAAGGTAGCTTAGGGCCAGCTCCCCAAAGAATATGGGCAGAGAAACCTGAACCTAGGGCCCTCACCCCATCTCCCACCGAGCTGCTGGCCGAGTCTGCCTGCCCAACCGTCCTGTCTTCTGCAGAACAGGTTAAATGCACGTCATTGCCAAGAGCGTGTACTCGGCCGCAAAGAGCTGGTGGGGAGCAAGGTGAGAGAGCTCAGGCCCAGCAAGGGAAGGTGGTGTGGACAGCGCTCAGGCCCTCCCTGCCAAAGGAAGCCCGTGGGCCAGGCCCAGAGCTGCTGGGCCCTGGGAGAGGGGCATTCTCAGCTCCCAGCTCCTGTCTCTGCTGTCATGTCCAGGCCCTCCAGCCCTGCGGACCGGCCCAGGAACAGTGACACTTTCTAGAGCCAACAGTGTGCCTGCCCGCTAGTTCCCTGCACTGGCAGCCTGCCCAGGCCCTGGGAGTCCAGCTCTGCAGGAATGAGGGAGGCACCCCCAGCAGGGGTCCTGACCCTGAGGGCCGCCAGCTCGGAGCAGGGCCCCGACGAGCAAAGCCCCGTGCGGGCTGTGCTGCTTCCTGGATGCCTCTGTCCAGGTAAGGAGCAGGGACCGCTAGGCCTGTGCCACCCACCAGCTGTGTGACCTGAGCCACACCTCTTGCGTGTTCTGCAAAAGGGGCTAAACCCTGCCCTGCCCAGAGCTGGGATCCTTGGTATGGCAGGCTGATGGGGGCGGGCCGTGGGTCCAGGCTGGCCATGTACATACTCAGCATCAGGGAGACGAAGGGACGATCACCCAGCCTCCCAGGGGGACAGGGGCACCCACCCAGTTCAGGACACTGTGATGACCGTATCTTGTTATAACTAAATATGCTAATTATAAATGGCAACTTTAGAAAGAGCACTAGCCTTGGGAGTCAGAAGCTGCAGACCTACACCCCAGCTCTGCTGCATCCTAGACGTGTGTCCTTCAGGAAGTCTCCTGATCTCCTTAGCCTCGGTCCTCCATCTGTAAAATGAGGATCAAAAGGTGACTGAGCAGCAGAGAGAGAACATAATGGAAGTGAAAGCCTGCCAGCTGCAGATGGTCCCATCTCCTCCAACAGGCTCCGAAGGCAGAGCTGGAGGAAATCTCTTCCGTCACTAACTGGTGGGTATGGACCTGGACAGTTCTCTGGCCGCTTAACAGAATAACCCGAGGAACAGAAGAAGAACAAAAGGTACCGAGGCCTGGGCCCCTCCCCACACCCAGCAATTCAGATCCAATTGCTCCTGGGGGGGCGGGGTGGCACTGAATTTTTTTTTATAAGTTCATTTATATATTTATCTTGGGCTGTGTTGGGTCTTCGTTGCCGCACGTGGGCTTTTAGTGGCGGCGAGCGGGGGCTACTGCGTTGTGGTGCTCGGGCTTCTCACTGCGGTGGCTTCTCTTGTTGTGGAGCACGGGCTCTAGGTGCGTGGGCTTAGCTGCTCCACGGCATGTGGGATTTTCCCAGACCAGGGCTCGAACCCGTGTCCCCTGCATGGGCAGGCAGATTTTTAACCACTGCGCCACCAGGGAAGTCCTGAAATTTTTTTTAACGTTAAGTGATTCTTCCGTGTGCCGGGAGTCAGGAAGCAAAGAGCAGCCCACTTAGAACGCAATCAGGGCACAGCCCACGTTTCTGTGTTGCTGCTGTCTGGCCGAGCAGCTCGTGGGATCTTACTTCCCTGACCAGGGACTGAACCCGTGCCCCCCCCCCCCCCCGCCCCCGCAGAGGAAGCATGGAGTCCTAACCACTGCAGCGGCCAGGCAAGTCCCAGAGCCCACAGTTGTAGCATCCTCCCCAGCAGCTCCACCCGTCTCGGTTGAGAGACCGAGTGCGGCCCCAATACCTCCCAACGAGCTTGCTAGCTGCAGGTAAGTTTTGGCGCACCCTGGCCCACTTGGCAAAAAGAAAATCAGAGACTTTCTGCCTCCCAAGGGCCCAGGGCCATCGCGCAGATGGGTTACGCGCTTCACCACTTTTGGAAGCCCCAAATCCTGCTAAGTGGGTGAGGGTATACATGCAAAGAGAAAAAAAATGCTGGAAGGATCTATTTCATTAGCAGACATGATCTCTAGGTATGGGTATCTATAAACCTTCTTCATCCTTCTGGGTTTTTGAAATGCTCTCCAGTAATCAGTTTTATTTCCTATGCATTATCTTTTTTTTTTTTTTTTTCTCTGCAGATGTTTTGGGGTAAAGAATGAGGAACACGCTCAGGAACAAGGAGGTTTGCGGGGATGGAAGAGCTGGGCAGACGGGCCTCAGGGAGGGACAACTGATTTCAGGTTAGCAAATGCTTAGCTGTGAGAGAGGATGGGATATGTTCTAACGCCCGGGTGTCCACTGTGGGATGTGAGAAGCTCATTTCACGAGAGCCCCGCCCATGTTTTACCCAGAAGGAATAAACATCACTCCCCCTGCCCTCATCCCCCCTATCCCGTACTGACCTTTACCTTGGAGCCATCCCTTCCCCTGGGCAGAAGAATGCTGAGCAAACTCGGCCCCTTAAACACTGTCTCTGGGAGCTGGGATGGCGGCACAGTGGGGACCGCAGGAGCCCAAGGAGCAGGGGGCTCGGCTGGCCAAGGAGGGAGGATCGTGGCCGTCAGGGTCCCACCAACGGCCATCTTCTCGCGTGACAAGAGCTTTTGCGTTGGCACCTGGGGGGAAACCTTAGAAATACCTCGAGGATGACCTTCCTCTGCTGACTGGGAGGCTGACAGGACCCAGGGTGGACCACAGGAGCAGGTACCGTCCTTACTGCCTGTCCACCTCCCCGTCCGCCCATCCACAGGCTGGCCACCTGTCCAGCCTCTGCCAGAGAGGACGATGTTGTGGGATCTGGTGACATGCGGGATGGTGTTAAGGGGGGCGTGTCACCAATTGGTATTTCGGCTTGACAGTCCCATGGGACCCCCACACCTCCCCCCATAAAAGCCTTGGCTCAGCAGAAGTATCTGTGGGTGGGGCACCTGCTGAGCATGGTGGAAACCCAGGAGGTGAGAGAGGAGTAGAGACCACCTGGGCGAGAGAAAGCAGGCTCTAGGGTCACAGCTGGGGGGGAAGACCTCGATCCCCTGCAGGCGGCTCTGCAGAACGGCCAGCTCACTGGGTCTCAGCGCGTGGACCGAGGCTCCTTCCGTTTTAAAACCCAGTGTTGCCCTGGACACAGCTTACCCCGAAGCTACCCTTCCTTGGGCTGGACACGTGCAGCTGGGCTCTACGGAACCCTCCCCGCACACAAACCGGGGAGACCCTGCATTCTCCTGGGCTCCGATCGGCACAGGAATGTCTCGAGGCCCGGGCCTCCCCAAAGAAGAAATTATAAGAGTACATGCAAATCGATGCACCGACCAACAAAATGTTTTAATAATCAGTAAGTTCCCCTTCACTCTCATTTCAGGACGATGGGGGAGGACACGCCAGTCGAACCCCAGGTAGCCCTTCCCACCCCGGAGCAGCCGGGTGGGCTGGGGCCACTGCCTGATGCACACTGCAAGAACAATAAGGATTTTTAGGGGCATTATGACTGAGTCAGAAAACACAGCTGCCCCTGAAAGTCCCTCATTTTTCTTGCTGTCCTTGAGCACTCTCCAGGTGAGTAAGGAGTCGACTGGCCGGCCCAGGTGAGCCAAGGAGATGGTGGCCCACGGGAAGCTCTGTGGCAGGTGGGGTAGCTGCGGGGTCTCCACGGTGGCATGATTGTCTCCAATGCTCGGCCTGGACTGTGGCCGGATTCACTGCCCCCCCGCCCCGCCCCGTACCCCGAGGCATGCCCAGGAGTGACCAGCCTCTGTTCCAACTCAGAACCCCGTGCCTTCTGCCCGCAGGGAGCCTGGGGCTAGAATCCTGGTGGAATCCCAAGTGGCGAGGGGCCCCAAGAACTAGGCAAAGCAGGAAGACCCGGAGGAAGGGCCATCTGGCCCTCGTCTTCACGTGCGGGGCGTGGACCCGTCTTGCAGGTACTGAGCTCGAGAGGCTGAGTGACGGTCACAGGCTGTCGTGACACAGGAATAGTAGAGACTCCCCACCCCCTGCCCGCAAACAGCCTGTCATGGGCAAAGGGCAGTGCGGGCTTCTGGTTTGTCCCGATGGCGTTCAGGTTCAAATCAGCGAGCTGCCCGCTCTGCTGGAAGAGACTGGGGGTAGGGTGAGGGGATGGCCAGAAAGCGGCCAGCGAGAAAAAACAGGAGGGGCCGCTGGCTGATTATTTTTTCTTACAGGAGGAAGAAAGGGGCTCTGGAATCAGAGCTTGGTTTAAGGTCCTCCTTTATGAGGGATCCCTCGTGCCCCCAGACTCAGGTGAGCCTCCAGGGCGGCAGAGGCTCAGCTCCGAGCATCAGGGCGCCCCGACCAGGAAGGCCCCAGCAGGCCACTCCCACAGACCCTGGGCCTTTGACTCCTCAGAATGCCACCCATCAGCCGGTAACCGTCCCCTGAAGCCGTCCCCTGAAGCGAGGCCATCCCACCCAGGGCCCCAGCTCAGCTGGAATCTGCCCAGCTGGCTGCTGGGAGCCTGCCCCACCCAGCCTGCCACTGCACCC